CAGCCTAATTTACAATCACTTTTTATTCAAACTGCGTCGACAAGCAATTATCATGTGATTCGAGCTGCTGGATCATTAGGGCTTTCAACGCGGATCCAGATTTTTCACATTTCCAACTGAGCCATCATCAAGGCAGATTTTATGGTGCACAATTTGACACAGGACTGAATCTGCAGTAATTGGCTCAGGCAATCATCGCAAACTACAAAATCTCGTCGCACGCTGCGGTGATGCAGATGGAAGTCTTTGTAATTCCTGGGTCCTAAACTGTGATCTTTAGGCGATTTGAGTTGTAAAGAACAAAAAAACATCAGCTGCAGAGAAAATGAGTGGGACGCGTGACGTACCCTTCGTCCCAGGATCTGATTGATGGCGGCGCTCTCCTTCAGCGTGCATTCGGCGACCACGTTCGCACGCATCTCTTTCATGTAGAGCATGAAGGCGTTTAGCGGCTTCTTGATGTGCGGCCTTTTCGGCTCCTGCTCCTTTCTCTGTTCGTGCTGGGACTTCCTGCAGACGTCGCGGACCGAGGTGAAGAAAATCAAAGAAAATGGTTGGAAAATGAGAGAATGAAAAAGAGCGGAGCGGCACAAGGAGGAAATTGCGGTGCCACGATGGCGACTGGTTTCTCCCGGCCAATGGCGGGGCAGCGTGAGAAGCGTTGCCACGCCATGGGCCCCTGCCTCTTTAATCATGTGCAGTTGCACACTCGCAGCCCTTCATGCGAAGAGATTACTTCATCATTAATGGCAACCAAACTTTGTCCACAGAACATTGGAAAGTACTTAAAACCAAATGCTGAAATCCCCCCAGTGAGCATGCAGCGCTTTGCTCCCACTCTGACAAGTCTCATGGTACCAATGGGAATACCATGAAACACATGTGTCAAACTCGAGGCCCAGGGACCAAATCTAGTCCACCATAGCGGAAATTCACGTATTTTTCCACACTAATGCATAACTGTGAGTTTATTGCAAATTTTATGCAAAAATGCCCAAACACATTAGGCTTAAGTGATGCTAACTCCCTCCTGCAGGTGGCAGTATTTCTTCTACTGCCTCAGCCTTACTTGATATCAAGATGCAGTCCGTTTTCTACACTGCGAGTAACAAAAAGGTACTTTTAACGTCTTGCAGTAGCATAAAAATTACATTCCTTGCAAATATCTATAAATTGGCACCACAAAATCTGTGATTTTGATTGTAAAAAAAAAGGGGAAAAAAATAAATCAAAAACAATCACAAAATCTTGGTGGATCCGATCAATGTGAATGGATGTTCAGTATTATTTAGTGTAAATAATACTGTTGGTTAATGGATTTTATCAATACACTTTAGCACAAAAGGCCCTATGAGAACATTTATAATGGCCTAAACAAAATTAAAGTGAGTTTGATACGGCTGCTGTAGACAAAGAAACCCAGCCGTCTGAAGTGGACTTACATGTGCATGATGTCACTTTCATGTGGCGGCTCCTGTTTGACCTGCGGGTTGACGATGGCTGGATGAGGGATGCCTGTTGCGTGAGGGCCTGGGGGGCCAGGCACCATGTGGTGAGAGAACCTGCAGGAAGAAATTAAGCCAAACACACATTTTACTTTGAGTTTATTAGACCGTCTGAAATTCTGGCTACAAATTTAAAACATTCTGAATTTTAAGGATTGTTTGGCGTTCTTATAGCATATAACTATATACTAAAGCTAAA